CACAATCAATGAACCATAAAAAATTAATAAAATAATTTATCTTAAATGTATAAATTAATTACCGAGATTTTATATTTCAGGATAATAATATTATAACAGAAATCAAAACAGAAATTATAATATCATATGATAAGTAAAAACAAGTGATACATGTTAAATAAAATGCAAATATTAACGCAAATTAACATATGCCGATAAAATTTAGGGAGGGTCTTGTGCTTTTTAAACTTTAAAACATGTTTCTGTAGAATTTTGATGCGCTGAAAACGATTTACGTTGTCTGTTTTTTTCCATCACCTTCCATTTTTTAAATAATCAAAAACAATTTTTACTCGAAGTAACTTTTTTATTAACTTTTTCCGGCTAAAAAAAAAATGATTGAGGTCTGTTTTACAATATTTAACTCAGAAATGTTCTAACAATATTAAAAATATTTTTTCGATACTTATTAAGTGTACAACTTTGTTTCCGCCGTTTTCATATAGATGGCTTTAGCGGTAAGTGATGGTCGAAATAAATAGATCATAGACGTCATACAATAAACTTGGGCATCTGTCAACATAACCCATAGAAACATTAGTCGATTTGTGTCTGCATCATAAAGTTATTCTCGATTGAAAATGTCAGTTTACGAGCCAAATTCTCGTTATTTGCGGGAGGTTTTAATTTTTTGCTTCAATATGAAGAAATCTGCGGCTGAGGCTCATCGAATGCTCTCAAATACTTATGGTGAGGCCGCTATTAGTGAAAGAACGTGTCGTGAGTGGTTTCAACGCTTCAAGAACGGTGATTTTGACGTTCAAGGTCATGCTCTGTATTTGGTGGGACCAGCTCGGCGTAGTGTATTATGAACTGTTAAAACCGACTGAAACAATCACAGGCGATCGGTATCGAACGCAATTGATGCGTTTGAGCCGAGCATTGAAAGACAAACGGCCGGCAATACAACGAAAGATGATAAAGTGATTTTGCAGCACAATGACAATGCTCGATCCTATGTTGCGAAAGTGATCAAGACATACTTGGAAACATTGAAATGGGAAATCCTACCCCACCCGCCGTATTCTCCAAACGTTGCTCCCTCTGACTATCACTTGTTTCGATCATTGGCACACGGCCTGGCTGATCAGCACTTCCGGTCTTATGAAGAAGTAAAAAATTGGATCGATTCGTGGATAGCCTCAAAAGATGACCAGTTTTTTCGACGCGGGATTCGTACGCTACCCGAAAGATGGGAGAAAGTAGTGGCCAGCGATGGACAATACTTTGAATCATAAATGTATAACCAGTTTTTTACAATAAAGCCTCGAATTTCGGAAAAAAAACGGCGGAAGCAAAGTTGTACATCTAATATGAACAAATAAGAGAGTGGAAAATGCAATACAAAGTGAAGTGTTATACAAAAATATTATTATTATTATTAATGTAAAGCATGTTATATACATATACATGTGACATACGTGTATACATTTCACGATCCATTAGTTTTTCTCCATATATATACTTTTAAGTTTTTAATTTAATGGATACGCTAATATAAAAATGTTTTATCCAAATCGCAAACAAAAACTTTGAAAAAAATCATAAAAAATCGGAAATAATTAACAAATTGTGAAATATAAAATCAAATAATAGAAAGAAAAAATTGTAAAAAATATCTGATAATTTATACTTATAGTTGTATGTTTCTAGTTTAAATCCTTTTTTGAAAAATTAATTTTCGACATTTGTTAAGAAGTTATTGAATTTAAAGCGTCAAAGCAGCCCGCGCATTACCTAAAGTGTGCGATATCCTCTCAAATCTGACATATAGCCATCGAATACAGGAGCATTGTTGTGTAATCTTTTTTGGTCACTGATTTCAAATCTGAAAATGTGCAATTCAAAATGGCGGATGCAAAATGTGCAATTCAAAATGGCGGATGCAAAATGTGCAATATGAAGAATTTTAAAAAATCCATATATTAAAAAATCGATATTTGATGGTTTTATAAGTCTCTGATTATTTATACTGTAATCACAATTGTTGAATTGAAAATAGCAGATTCAATGACGATGAATAATAAGTAAATGTACACGAAATGATGATTTTATATATATTATTATTAACAACTAAAAAAGTCATTACATTTCGCGAAATAATATAGTGACTAAAAAATCACATATTTTTCAAATTATGTTATGCAAATTAAAGATTTTATCATATATACTTTAGAAAATATTAAAAAAATTATATATCTTTAATTTTCGTAGAAAAGCATAATTAATATATAAGAAAAATACTGTAGATCGCTATAAAAGATTTATAAGATTTTAAACTTCTGCCATCATGCTATGTACTTATTTAAAATAAATAATTCAGTGTATATAACATTGGATTTTGTCTTTGGAGTTTACTCTTAGAAAATAAAATATGTTATTAACAACCAAACAGTTATATATTACATGTTGCGAAAAAATATATTACAGCGACAAAATCACATGTTTTTCTACTTATTATATGTTACGTAGGTTAAATTGTATATATACGCTCAGTGTAAATGGGCGAGTTCAAGACAGCAAAGCAGCTAAGCATATCGAACGATTGAATATGATTTGTTGGATCTATAAGAAATAACCAATTATGTTCATTTGCTCGACGAGCAGGCTAATCGCTTTGTCAATTTGAATACGCTCATTGTGTAAATAGTGTACATACACTGGGTGTTTTTCAATAACATACACAGGTGACACGGTGTAACACTGTGTCTTACACAAAATATTCCAACTATGACACAGTGTTATACTACTCGACACAGTAAAAAGCTAAGCGAACGTGTAAAATATGTCAATATTATCAACTTTTCAAAAAATTATTTGGTAGCCGTATTTATTTAGCAATAAAACCTTAAAAAATCGTCAATTTTGAAAAAATTATAACTTAAGTCTAAATAAAAACCATAAATCTGTTATACGTTAAATATAATTATAAGAATAGAATGGAAGACATTCTGATGTTACACGATGAAACTAACTGCGTTCCAACAAGTACACAGTGGAACACAGTGTAATGTCTTTGTGTCCTAGTTGGAAAACAGTCATTGATAGTACACACGCATATGAAACTTCCACTTTTGCCTCAATTTAGCGGACCAATCACTGATCACCCTATTGTCCGTACTCTTATTATAGATACATACTCTAATTGTGTCATTCTATCTTGTTTTATATCTAATAAATAACGAAGATAAAATGACAGAGTAGTGCTAATAGCATCTCCTCAAACGCACCACATGTCGAATCTTAAGCAACATCTATGGATTTCGTTCATTATTATGTAATTGACATCTATTTCTTCAGAGGGCGATAGTGCGTCTTTGGCACTTGGCATTTTGCGGTTATAGAAAAAAGGCTTATGCTCGCTTTCAGATTTCTCCGGTTCCTCTCTGCTATAGCTGTTAGGCATTCACCGTGATTGTAGTCGAATTGCGTCGTGCACGCCGTCGTGATTTGGTATGCACGTCTTCCTGTCTTTCTTGGTCTTCCTCCGTTCCTCCTAAGCTAGTTGAGTCAGCCGTAATAGTGGCACGTCGTTAGGCTTGAAGACAGCTCCGAGGATGTCCAAGAAGCAGGACAAGGTGGACAATGGCATCGTCGCCGTGAAGAGTAAAGTGGGTGTACACGTTGTGCCATCAGTCGTGGATAATATGGGATATGGAGGACATTCGCAGGATTGCGCATTATTTAAATTATTTTACAGTTTGACGCCGACATTATCAGATTCTCCATGAATCGTAACGAGCCTATGAGTTATGAGGACTTTGGAAAGCTACTGGCGCAAAGACATGACTTGGGAACAGACTTCAGCTTTTCAATTTGGTACACGGATACAGATGGTGATCTACTTCCCATCAATAATGATAACAATCTGGCGAGGGCTCTAGCAAATGTCAAGTGCCTGCTCCGAATTTTTATACATAGGAAAGGTAAGATTCTTGCATTGTATATTATACTCCTCATTCTGTATATATATATATAT